TCCCGCATCTCAAAAAAAAATCTTCTTTTGAAAAACTCACAAGCTGAATGACTTCGCCTTCCTGACGGTCCAGTTCCATTACAGACTGGATCGGACCACTCTCCCGTTCGCAAATCCAATGCTTTCAGACGTTCATCATACATGTCGCGAGTAGAGTGGAACTGGAACTAAGTTGTTATTTTCTGCAATATAATATATCTATTCAAATTCATAAATCCTAATTAAGTCAGCGATATTAACTAAATACTTCCAAATGTAACAACTCTAAAACTCCTAGATGCCTTAGACTACCACCAAAACATAGCCAAAGGAGGAGAAGATTGAAAAAAAAGACATTGGTTTGACTCAGTTAAAATCACAAAAATTAAAGTCGACTACTCAAGAATGTAGATGTAATTGCAACCAGCAAAAAGATTAAAAGAATAGACGACTGCATTCACTGACCTGCCCTGTGTGATCGCTTCTTCCTCCAAATATATACATTTTACTATCAATTGCGACAGCTGTGTGGAAATCGCGCCATAGAGGTGGTTGACCCTAGATTAGAGAACTATTTAGAAGATTAACTGGTCTAGTTGGAAGGTAGAATTTCGGTGACACCCCTTCATCTCATGCTGACCAACATTCCAATCTCTGGCTAGACATCTAATTTTGATACGTGATTGATTTCACTAAAATTAGAATGCTGAGTCCTGCTGCTGCGATGCTGCTGAGTCCCAGAATAGATACAAGCATATAAGATCGCCTCTTTCGTATAAATAAGTGTCAATATTTTAAATTATTCTTTGAGCATTTAAAGAGACAGACCTTGTGCACGCTTAGAATATATTTAATAGGAAAAGCGGAAGTTGTATTAATGAATTCCAAAACATTAAAGAAAAAGTACTGCGAAATTCGATACCCACGCAGGAAAACAAAGAGAATGAAAGCAGATTTTGAAAACAGATTTAAAAGGAAATTCAATGCTAACCGAAGTATTGAATTCACTCCAACGGTTTGTTAGAAAGTCGAACACATAGGTTTCTTGACTGAATCGTTGAAGATCTTCCTCGAATCCTCCAAATAAGAACATGCGATCACCGACTACTACGGCTGAATGGCCATCGCGTGCAGGTGGAACACGACCTTCTACAGGGACAATACGCCAACGGAGGAGCACTGCAGAAAAAAAAAAACATTAAAATTTCTTCAATTGCGAATGATTCTCGTAAGGCATTAATGAGTGTTTAAAGAGCATTAACCAGAAACATAGAAAACACAGCTTTTTCGAGTACGAATTCAGTCAAAAAATTGATGAAAATACGTAAGAAAGCGTCAATTTGATTTATAGAAGAAACTACTAGATCTAAGTAACAAGAATACTTTAGTGATTTT